TCACACTGCCGTACTCTAGCGGAACTATCAATCTATCAATCCTCTTCAGAGCTTTCTCTAGCTAATAAATTATCGCACTAAAACCATAGAGCTAAAACTTCATGTTGATATAAGACTTGATAGAGCTGGAATTAGGGCGTAACAGCTTTTGTAAACAATTACTTCTTTCGATGATTTCTAGACAGTCAATGCTAGTCAACGCAAATCAACATCACCATCGGGTAAAGGAAGACTTCCTCTACGCGAAGGTTACGTTGGTTTGCGTGGGTGTGCCTTGAATTCCTATAAATCATCGAGAAAAGTCATTGTTTACAAAAGCTGTTTCGCCCTAATTCCAGCTCTATGTACAAGTATAGCATTTCCTCCCAACTATGAAAATCATGAACTTCAAGTACGAAGTAACAACACATTTAAATTAGAGTATGGTGGCCACCATAACGCACAGCTGAAGATAGCCGCCACATCATATGCATAGGAAAGATTTCCCGCGCAAAGTGAACAAGCATATTTCTAGAAAGAGCTGGAATTAGGGCGTAACAACCTTTGTGAACAATGACTTCTATCGATGATTTCTAGGAATTCAAGCCACGCAAACCAACATAACCGTCGGGTAGGCGAAGTTTTCCCCTACCAAATGGTGTTGTTGATTTTTGTTGGCGAGCATTAACTTTCTAGAAATCATCGAAAGAAGTCATTGTTTACAAAAAGCTGTTACGTCCTAATTCTAGCTCTATCTAGATTTCTTCTATTGTCACTCAGATGGCTCTACACGCTAACTTGAAAGTACCCATTAATGGTTGAAAAAGACCCATTTTGAAGAAAAGTGGCTTAACTCATTAAATGAGTAAATTTTTTACCCATTAATGAGTATCTGTTACCCATTAATGAGTAATTGTTAATCATTAATGGGTAACAGATACTCATTAATGGGTAAAATTGTTTAATCATTAATGAGTTAAGCCACTTTTCTTCAAAATGGGTCTTTTTTTACTCATTAATGAGTACTTTCAAGTTAGCGTGTAGTGTGCCCACAGTTCACCGCAGGAATCAATTAAAAGGATTAAAAGTAACAGTATGCTATCTGCCAAATACGTATGGTTTGAACAAATGTTGGTGTATCTGTAACATAAAGTGACCGAAATGTGTAGTAGTGCTGTGTGTAGTGCCATAGAAGCTGTGCAAGAAGATTCCATGTGAAATACGTTGGGCTTGAAGAGGATACGTTGAAAGTTCTACCACAAACGAAGTGACAGACGGAGCGGCTCGAAAACTTTGGTGACTAACCTGCTAATGCAATTGTTCAGTGTACCACATGGCAACACCACTACTACTGGATTGTACCACATGGCAACACTACTACTGGATTGAACTAGCATTTTCACCAAATGTACTAGAGTGTTTGTAAATGTACACTGTCAAAGAATCATTGTACACAAAATAAGCTTTGTGCAAAACCAAAACAAAAATACTATCCGATCTGGTGGATGATGGCACAAGCTTCTAAGAAAATTCTATTACAGCGAACCACATTATTTTAATTGATTTCTTCGCCAGTTAGTCGTATGTCACTTCGTTTGTGGTTCTACCGCAACATTTTATAAGGCTTTGTGACAACATTTTAGTGCAATTTCAAAAATTCCCACTGAGTGAGCAGAATGAGGATAATGGTTCGCAAGATACAACGATCATCGAGAAGGAATTGGCAGATTTGAAAAGTAAACTAAACGGAATATTGGACAACATTAAGGTGTTTCGCTGTGAGATCCTCATTCTCGTAACCACTTCGAAACTTCAAGTGCACAAATATCAGCTTCTACGATACGTACCACAATGAAACTGTTACTCTACGTTTGCTGTACTGCCCCGAAAAAAAAATTACAGTGAAATTTTCAGTGGAAACAATGCTCTGACATTAATATTTATTGTCGACAATAAAAATGATTGTTATAATGTTGTACCCTTCCGAAAACGGCAAAACTGCTACCTATCTGTACAATGAATGTACATAATAAAATGTTGTTACAATGATTTTTATTTTATTTTTCATTTATTTTATTGTTAACATGATTCGATCACGAACAATAATGAACAACTCTATTACAATAAAAATTGTTGTTACATTAAATATTGGTGTGTTTTCATTGTGGGTTACTTCACGAACAATAAAAATAAATCTGATTGAAGCATGCAGACTATGAGAGGGTCAGCAACACTGCCAATGTAATCAAGATAGGCGCTGCTCATATGGCTCTTGCTTTGACAGTTCGTTTGGCTCTATTCGTTGCCAAGTCAATTGAACGCCTACGACCAGATCGGTTTGAGTTGAACTCAACTCTCCTGTATCATCTAAATCCCGCTAAATGCAGACCTTTTCCGTGCAGTCAATAATCATACAATAATAATAGAAAAATCCACCACTTGAAGATGTCATGAAATAACTCTCAGGTGGAAGCATATTTCATGGGCGATTCTCTCCAGTTGAATGCATTAACTTATCAACGACCCTCAACCACCAAGGAGACGTGACCTAGAGAGATCGAGTGCAGGGGAGTTGGCTTCCATTTCTCACAAGTTCCGGATCGAATCTCAATCCATAACCAGTAAAAAAAGGAATCACCCGTAACATACATACCACCCCCCTTCACTTCCCGGGGCGATGTTTTATTTTTTCGATTTATTTTTAAAGTCGATAAAGTAGATCTGTCAAGCCAACACATACACTCTAAAGTACACTGTTATTTTTTTAATCAATAAATTCGCCAACCAACAGTAAAATAACAATAATATATAATGTTTTTGAAAAAAAATTGTATGGGGAAATCACGAAAATTTCATTGTTAAGATACTTAACAACCCCCCTTTTTTATTGTAAATTTTCCATTTACCATGAAATTTACTGTTTTGTACAACATAAATCAAGGTAAATTTATTGTAGACGTAACAATATAAATCATTGTTAAGACAATAATTTTCGTCTTATTGTTACATTGTTTTTTATTGTATTTTTGTTGTTATTTTTTTTCGGGGCAGCATACATGAAGTAGCAATTTCAGGTGAAATCGGACATTAATTTACGAGATGTGTGTAGTTGAAAATTCGAAGTGGAATTGCATGTATAGCCTACGTGGTAGCCATTTGTGGACTCTACAAGGAATCACTTTAACCCCGTTAACTTCAAAACACTGCGACACTGTGTCATTCCACTTCGATAATATCTTTCAAACTTTTCAATGGGACCAACGTTGTTTGTAATCATCATTTATGTAATTTGTGCATAGGAAATGATTTTCTGAACAAAAAAAAAAAGTATATTGCAAAAAAAAACAATAAAAAAAGCAAATCTTTGCAATAAAAATTATGTTTCACTATTTTGGTCAATTTAAATGGGTCATTGTATCCCATATCAGAAAAGTAGTTTTTTTAATAATTTAACATAATTTAAAAAATCGCGATAATCTTCTTATAGAAGTTATAGAAATTTTTTTTTTGTTGAATATTCATTTCATTTTCAAATTTGTCATTTTGAAAATTAGGCAACAATTAGTGAACAATTTTGCGAAGTTTCATGGAACTCGGAGAGGAAAAAATCAAATCAATTCGTCAGACGGCATCAATTTGATCTTCGAGTAAACAATACTCGATCCTACTGTTTGCATTCCTGGGAACGATTTCCCGAGAAATGAGATCTCGGAATTTCCGATTCCCAGGATTCCCGAATTTTCTGGAAAATTTTATATTTATTCACAGCTTGCTTTAGATTCAGCTGAAATTAATTGTCTCCACTCGCGCTTAAAATGTATCATTAGTATGAAATTGAAATCACTTAGCTCTAAATTAAGAAAAAAAAATAACAATATGGGCAAATCGGCCCCAAGGAATGTGCAACATATTCATAAACATATATTAAATTATTATTTTGCACGAAAATAAAAAGTTATGTGAAACGTAATCTCTGGCAACGGTTGCAATATATTTGACATAGAGGGACTGTCGGCTTCGGAAATACCTTAACCTATTATCACAAACGAAGTGACAGACGGAGTGGCTCGAAAACTTTGGTGACGCACCTGCTAATGCAATTTTTCAGTGTACCACATGGCAACACCACTACTACTGGATTGTGCCACATGGCAACACTAAATGTACTAGAATGTTTTGGTTCGATCTCTTTCACTCTACTCTAAACCGAAATGCATAAAAAAAAATGACAAAATGATGCACTCTTTGCACACTGTCAATGATCATATTGCACACAAAATCAACTATGTTCAAATCAAAACAAAAATACTAGCCCATCTAGTGGCTGATGGCACAAGCTTCTAAGAAAATTCTATTACAGCGAATCACATTATTTTAATTGATTTCTTCGCCAGTAAACAACGTCCTTGAGAACCCAACATGTGAATACATTGTGTTTCAGAGCATCTATTGGCCAAATTTGAGTGCTCTTGAACTTTGTACTTTGACGATAATAGAATAAGGTATTGCGGAAGCCGACATTTCCCCTACAAAACTCTGCTGCCGAATTGTATTTTGATTTCTCCACCCATCTCTTCCTTTGAGGATTTCTAGTTTAAACGTGAAACTTTTTCGAAACATTTTGACTAAAGAATCTCATTTTCACTTTGAATCTTCAAGAGCAATTATATCAGCTTCCACAAAACCTAAAATGAAGTAATTGCTATCTCACATTTGCTGAAACATGTAATAGCAAATTCATATGCAAAGTCGACTGTATCCAAGATTTGTGCTGACCTATGCGGGAAAAATCTGAGGGATTATTTTGGGACATAAATCTAGAACGTTGTAAATTTACAAAATGTATAACAATCTTCAATAAACCACACGTACAAAGAGTGAACACACAAAAAACAATCCAAAAACGATCTATTAGACTCAACCACCCGACAAAGACTGCCATCACTCTCACCAATCTGTAGAAACTATCACCAACTAATCAATATCTATTAAGTGAGTTATAGATAACCATTTTATCCTACCTTATTTATCAGTTCAAATCCCGTATGTCACCGAGTGGACATGCCTTCAACTACGTAGGTTCACAACACTGTAGCTATTTTAAACGCTAGCTTCGTTCTCCTTTTACTCTAAATCTCAACGATCAAATACTTTCGATGGTCTGTCTATGATGGCAATCGACACTGGAATGACGCTACAGAGATTATAAAGCGCGCGTTCAAGCGTCTATAAGCTTTTAGCCAACTTGATATATAAGGAAAACAATGATGATCCCATGTGCTTGTTAATAGTCTGATAAGCGGCGATGTCGACATGACCCCTCTTTCACTGATTTGAACCCCCAGCGTTTAGAGACCGGTTGGAAATCTATTCAACTTGGATATAGGCATAAAGGATATTAATTACGATTGATAAAAACAGCAAACACTGTCAATTTATTGCGCTGGTAACAGGCGCTATTACGGTTGCTATAGGCAGTTTATTTGTTCTACTCATGCGATCCGTTCTGTGCCGTTTCTGACGATTTCGTTCCATTTGCTTCCGGGCTCTTAGTTTCAGGTTGATTCACACTAAGATTTCTGTCTTTCCTTCTTATTGTAGAGTTCAACCAATTAGCAACCGATCTTCTGAAATAGATTTTATTCTACATAAATATAAAAAAAAACATGCAAATGTTCAGAAATTATACCTATTTTTGGTTCTATATGGAGGTATTCCTTTTTCACCTGGTTTGCGTGAAAATGTCATTATCCGTGGCATTTGAAGCTTTTTAGCAACTTGATCATCATCATCATCTTTATCTTCACTGAGACGTAAAATTACTCCAAGAATTATCGAGCTCCGGAATGCCCTTCTAAATGTTCGATTGGTTAACCCGTAAATGACCGGATTCAAAGCTGAATACAAAAAGATGAAAGCCACTTTGCTGAACCACCATATAAGAACAAAGTTTTCACTTATCTGTTGAACAAAACATTGCATGAAATTGTTAAAAGATTAAATTGAGAAAATGGCGTGGCTTCCTAATCGTGAATTATGTTATCCACTTACCGCAAATCTATTTGTACTATCCACATTTTTGTAGAAGATCAGTATCATCACGGTGAACGGTATCCTCACCACTACGAATGTAATCAGCACGATGAACAAAGTCTTCGCCACCCGACTTTTGTATCGAACCACCATCGGGTGCTCCCTATTCATTGCTTTCCTTTCATACTGGTCCAATTTGCAAAGAATCGTACTGTAGGTGACCATCATGACACCCAACGGAAGCCAGACCAACAGAACTATCACATAGTCCCAATACAGTGGCATCACCTGCTTATCTTCGGAGCAATATGTTTCATGAAAATTACTCCAGTCCCGTTCTTTGTAGTTCCGGTAGATGGCCAACGGAAGAGCAGCTGCAAATCCGAGAATCCAGCAAAGAATTGAGGCGATTATAACGCTCATGAGTTTAAACCTTGCCTTCCTGGATAGCACAATAGCCGCTAAACGATCGTAGCTTACGACGCAAAGAGCCAAAACGGAAGTGATTAGAAGGCCACCTGGAAAAGATGTCCAAACAAATAATAGGTATCTAAAGATATCAAGAAAATGTGTGTAGATTACCTTCAACGAAACCCTCCAACTTACATCCAATCGGTCCCAGGACGTAACTCTGATGAATATCGTGCAGTATGAAGAACGTCGGGCACAGCACTAGGGTCACCAAATCGATTAGAGCCAGATTCGCTATCAGCAGATGGGTTGGTGTACGCAGAGCTCTGTTTGAGAATATGATCTCCAGCAGTGATACGTTTCCGAGGATTCCAAACAATACGATCGGTATCAAGATGGTTAGTTTTATGATGATATCTTTGTCAGGGATCTGGTCCCACACCTCAAAAGGATAGTTATACTCTGACGTGTTGATCTGTGGTTGAAAATGCAGCGAAATTGAGATAAATAAATAAAAGGCAACCTGATTATTTGTAACGCACCGCAACAGGCATGGCCCAAAAGAATCTACGAACTGGAACCATCTTCAGGGATGTATCGTCTGGTTGTAAACTAAATCCGGTTTTCATTATCGTTATCTGAAATCATACAAACGATAATTGTTTGCTGAATTAGTGGAGACGCATGGTAAGCTAAAAGCTGTTTATGTTCATGCATGTATCACTGGGCATAACGTATTGTATCATTTTCATCGTACCTACCTACTACTTTATCTTCATAACAAAAAAATAAATAAAACAAGGGAAAATTGTGTGTTACGGCAACTCTTGCAATAGTCACTACTACAAGTGCAATACGATTCTACAATTATTAAGATGGTTAAAAATATCGATTGGTGCCAAATATATCAAAACATGAGTTTTTTTTTAATAAATCTGAAATGGTTTACACTTAAAATAATCTACACTTTGAAGCTACGTGTAAAATCACGTAAGCTCTCAATTTTTCCTCTCCTCTCAGTTTTACTTGACTCACGTAGAATGTGTGTGATGTCTATTGAATTTCACATGGAGTTCCTTTTTAACACACCTACATAATCAATGAAATGTACGTGATTTTCCCATAACACTGAGTCTATAAGCGTTTCACGTAAAGCTTATGTGATTTCCACATCTAAAAAAAGAGTGGACGTACACTCAGAGCGCTGCAAATCAAGGTGGCATCATGATGTACTTTTGTTCGGTATTTGGTTGTGGCATGATGTAAGTATAACATTATGGATTATTTTATTTTCTTTAACAAAAATAAACTGTCTGTTTCATCTTACTCCCCAGAATGATGTCAAGCTGTCCATAAGTTTCTTCCTCTAAGGAAAAAAAAGTAGCTCTGCTCATCACCATGATCCTACAGATTATTTATGCTGCGTATCGAATATGTAAAACAAATCTGATGTGGTGTATTTAGATTGTAAAGATTGTATCTACATATAAAGGAAATATTTGTATAAACAGTGTCCCAATATTGATACAAGAATCCTCCAATGAATGTCACTGACCATATCACGCAACTTCGTTCTGATAATCCTGTGACGTTTAACCTTCATGAAATGAGTGCCCCTAGATGAGAATCACGTAGATCTTATGTGAAAAGTACGATGGAAAAAATCTACGTATGTTTTCACGTAGCATTTACGTGAAAATTATTCTGAGTGTAATATAGCAGTTGAGTATCTTCAGAAAAGTTTCTCAGTATGCAACACTCCTTCTTAGACCACCCGCACCGGTGCATTGCTATCCAGGGTGCTAGTTAGACAACTTTAGTAGTTGCTATTTTAGTCAGCAACCAGATTTCTCACCGGTTATTTAAGTTTTTGACTTTCGCACCGATAGTTGCTAAACCTGTCAACGAGTTTCGAGCTGAAACTGATCGCAGAGCTTCGTGATTATTTTTTTTTTTCGATGGCATTGATATTCCTAATCATGAAGATTGAAGATTGAAGATCCAACACATCCGTAAAGGTGGTCAATTCGTAAAAAGTTCCTGTAGCTCAGTGATTTGTTTAAATAACTTATATTGATGCTACATTAATGAAATTGAATCTGGCTACGGAACAGTCCTATGGAAGATCTGGGACATTCGATAAAGTTGTCAATTCGTAAAAAATATTGTAGACCTCCGCGATTGTTTTACATCACTTGCTGTGAAGCTATTAAATTTGGATTTGAAACAAGCTTGTGCACTCTGCAGGCCATGTAACGGTCCTTCGGATGATCCGGAATATCCATATAAGTGGTTGTTGTGATGCTTCATGATTCAATTTGAATCTGGGACCAGTATGCCGGAAGATACCAATATGCTGGGACCCTCAAGTATGACGAACGGCGTAGTGGAAGTGGACTCTATCGTGGGTATTGCCGAGTTGTTTCGCACACAATTCAGCAGTGTTTTCAACGACGAACGACTCAGCACTCAGGATGTAATTGCTGCGCAGTGATGGGCAAAACACCGGTACAGCACCGGTACGGTTTTCTAAAGCATAACCAATGTGCTTATCTGTTGTACCGAGTGTATGGTGCTGCTGTCGGTTCGGTTTGGTAGTTGCAAGTAACACCGCACCGTGTTCACCAGTTCGCTGCACACGGTGCGGTTCTGATTTTCCAGCACCGGTGTTCTGTGTTCACAAGGATGATGTTTTGAATTCAAGAACCGATCCGGTACTGTTGTGTGTTTATGTGCGTGGTGCGCATTATTCAGAATTGCCAGTGATGGCAGATAACTAAACAGAAATTGTATTTGATGAATAATATTATGCAGTGTCAAGTCGAAATAGCGGTTTTTGAATACAGAAAAACTGTGAATTCAAATGATGTATTACGCAATGTGGGTATTTCCAGAATCGGTGTGACGTGGAGATCGTAAATCGTCAACCAACGCCACCTTGAAATCCAAGATAGCGGCTTCCGGTTATAGAAAAAATTTAAACACCTTTAAACACCTGTCAAATACCTTTCAAAATGGGTATTTCCGGAATCAGGGTGACGTCTTGAGACCGGAAATCAATGTCTGCCGCCATTTTGAAATCCAAGATGGCGGCTTCTGGTTAGATAAAAACTGGGAAATAATGCCAAATATCCTTCAATATGGGTATTTTTGGAATCTGGATGACGTATAAATACCGGAAATCAAGTTCTGACGCCATTTTAAAATCCAAGATGGCGGCTTCCCTTTATAGAAAAACTGGGATATAATGCCAAATATCCTTCAATATGGGTATTTTTGGAATCAGGATGACGTCTTGAGACCGGAAATCAATGTCTGACGCCATTTTGAAATCCAAGATGGCGGCTTCTGGTTATATTAAAACTGGGAAATATTGAAGGATATTGATGGATGAAGGATATTTGACATTATTTCCCAGTTTTTATATAACCAGAAGCCGCCATATTGTATTTCAATATGGCGTCAGACATTGATTTTCGGTCTTTATACGTCATCTCGATAACAAAAATACTCATATTGAAGGATATTTGACATTATTGCCCAGTTTTTATACAACCGGAAGCCGCCATATTGGATTTCAAGATGGCGCCAGACATTGATTTTCGGTCTTTATACGTCATCCTGATTCCAAAAATACCCATATTGAAGGATATTTGACATTATTTTCCAGTTTTTCTATAACCGGAAGCCGCCATCTTGGATTACAAAATGCCATCAGACATTGATTTCGGGTATGTATACGTCATCCTGATTCCAAAAATACCCATAGTGAAGGATATTTGGCATTACTCCCCAGTTTTTCTAAAACCGGAAGCCACCATATTGGATTTCAAAATCGCGTCTGACATTGATTTCCACTCTCTAGACATCACCCCGATTCCAAAAATACCCATATTGAAAGATATTTGACATTATTTCCCAGTTTTTCTATAACCGGAAGCCGCCATCTTGTATTTCAAGATGGTGTCTGACATTGATATCCGGTCTATAAACCTCATCCTGATTCCAAAAATACCCATATTGAAGGGTATTTGCTACTATTTCTCAGTTTTCCTATAACCGGAAGTTGCCATATTGGATTTCAAGATGGTGTCTGACATTGATATCCGGTCTAAATTGGTCATCCCCAATCCGGAAATTACCCATATTGAAGCGTATTTGTTAGTATTTTCCAGTTTTCCTACAACCGTAAGCCGCCATCTTGGATTTCAAAATGGCGTCAAACATTGATTTCCGGTATTTATACGTCACCCCGATTCCAGAAATACCCATATCGAAGGGTATTTGACAGGATTTCTCAGTTTATCTGCAACAGGATGCCGCCTTCTGAATTTCAAGAAGGTATCGGTTATCGATTTCCAGGCTATTGGCGTCACGCGGACTCCAAAAATACCCATATCGAAGGGTAATTGTCAGACTTCAAAATGATTTCTAGTTCCTTCGCTACCAATATTGTCTATCAAAATATTTGGCAATTGAATTAATAACTGTCGCTTGGTACAAATATTTTACTCACCTTTTTGGGAGCACTGCTATTTAATTCTTGCCAATGTTCCGAACCAAGAATGGTATACCCGGTTTTGGTAACATATAATTGAACCCTGCACACGGTTTATATCTCGTGTACCAAAACCAAAATTCTAGCACACCGGTTTTCGGTTTTCAAGCTGCGGTTCTGAACATCAACTCGAAAACCGGCACACGGTTTTGATTTAGAACACACTGGTACACTAAAACTCAACCGAACCAGGGTACACGCTTACATAAACACAGGAGTATTTTTTGAACACGAACCAGCACACGGTGCGCACCGGTTGGTTCAGTTGCCCATCACTGTAATGCTGCGTCAAGTAACGTCTCTCCCACAACCTTCTCCAGCCATCCATTTTCTATCACTAGCGAAATGGTTATTTCATCCGGGAAGCAACTAAAAACTTCAATGGGTTCCGGTCCAGATGGCGTACCGTCGTTAGTCCTAAAACGCTGCCTGACTGTTCTCGCGACACCTCTAGCCAACATTTTCAATCTCTCCTTGATGTCTGGGGTTTTCCCAGCTTGCTGGAATGATTCTTTCGTGTTCTCAATCCACAAGAAAGGCTGCAAAAGGACTGTTTCAAACTACCGGGGAATAGCTTCGTGAAGTACTACCTCCAAACTTTTTGAGTTGATTATACTCGAAAAATTGGTTCAAAGTTTTCCACACTGTATCTCGACGGATCAGCATGACTTCATGCCTAAGCGTTCCACGATGACCAATTTAGTTACGTTCACTTCGTTCATCATTCATGAAGTAGAACGTGGCCATCAAGTAGATGCCATATACACAGACCTCTCCGCAGCATTTGACAAAATGAACCATGACATTGCGTTGGCTAAATACGACAGGATAGGTGTTCACGATGATCTGCTTACTTGGTTCTACTCCTACCTGTCTGGTCGATACATGTCTGTCAAGATTGGAGACTATGTTTCTCCATTCTTCCCCGTGACATCCGGCGTTCCCCAAGTAGCCATCTTGGGCAATTTCTGTGTATGTTGTACATGAATGACGTCAATACCACCCTGAAATGCCTTAAACTATCGTATACGGACGACTTAAAACTCTACTTTGTGATAAAAGAACCTAGTGATGCCATTT